CCATAATATTTATTATGTTCGCGCTATTTATCATCATCGGATCTTTAGTTAACGATTCATCAAAAATATCTCGTGCACCACAATCACCCAACAACAAACCAATCAACGATAAACAAACATGTAGTTCCAAAGACTACAAACAAGCAGAATACAAATATTACCTTCCTTATGTTATCAGTTGGGTTGTAATATGCGTTGGTGCAATTTGCTGGTTTGTTGTTCGGTTTAGAATCAAAATCGGAATCGAGGAAAGACCCCAGTCACGTAATAGTGATAACATACAATCAGGTATTTCGTCGGAAGATGGGACGAATCGATCAATTGATCAGAGCAAATGACTCTTAATTCTGAGGATTTTTAATGTTAAAAAAAGTTATTAGTCAGAATAGAAAATGCACAAAAAATTTAACGTCACTCTACCTAATGTTCTTTAAAGTCAAAAGTACAATATCCATTCCAATAGCACTTTTACATTCCAAAACAATATACATGATTGTCTCGACTGTCGTTTCTAATGCCAATATGTACCTATGAATATCTTTTTGGGAGGGACAAAACACTACGTTACCCATTTGTGTATAACATCGCTAATTCCATGACCAGTCGCAAGAATTGTAATTTAAATTATCATTTAATACTGTCTTATATAAGAATATTCTTATGGTCATTTGAATTTGAATATGACTTGGATTTATTATAGTTTGCTGTAAAATTTTTTGTTATTGGTGTGACAGTAATGATAAATGACCCAAATGACTCCGATGACAAATGACCATTGACTGGTCATTTTAAAGGTAGAATGACCTAACTGGTCATTTAGAAAAGTCAAGTGATCTCACAATCTTCTTTTATCCAATAAAATTAAAATTAAACTTTGTTCGACTTTGGCCAATTCTTTAATTATCAACCAGAAACATTAATTTCGATATTATTTGAAACATGAACAAATAATTTGGTTATTTATCAAACAATGCCAAAATGTAGTCCAAATTTTTTGGATCTAATAAATCTAACTCTTAATAATCAGTATTACTGATGATATATTTTTTCTTGTAACTAACTTAGTTACTTAGTTACCACAATTGGCCAAATCATTAAGACCTATTAACTCAACATTCAAAATTTTTCCAGTCAAAAAAATACGTAATGTTATAGAGTAGTCAATAAATAATTGATTTACGTAGTTTCTAATTTTTCTAAATTATTTTGAGGGCTCTGATATGATTTGAAGCTAATCTATTTGTGTGGTGACTAAATAATTCGCACTGTATATCATGTGATTTGTTCTTATGATCAATCTCATAGCTTAATTGATCATATTATTCTGTATAAATAATACAATGTAATCAGTTTCAAACATTGGAAGAGATTTTTGAATTTGAAAAGATTTTTTGAATTTGAAGGGAGAAGACATATTCTTTTTTATATTTAACACTTGCTAATTAAAAAAAAAATAAACATGAAATTAAATATAAAATAAATTAATTATTTTAAACTCAATTTTTATTATAATTGTAGCATGTTGTATTTATATTTATCTGTTATTATAATAGTATTTGAAATATACCTTCTGTATTCATTGATATTTACAAGAAGCTTTATGTTTAAGGAGAAAGTATACAAAATGTATATAATTTGTCTAATTATTATTAATTGTTAATTTCAGTTATTCTTTAGAAAAAATGATTGCATTATCTTTTACGCCAAAAGCAAATTATGGTGAGCCCATAAATGCTACTCTAGTATAATGGATGGTATAAAATGTACATACGTAAACTTCCGGGTATAAGCAACTCGTTTTGAACATTTTAACAATAATTATAATCGTGATACATGTATTAGGTAATATTTTAGGGATCGGGATAGAGCTGGATTTAGGTGATACATAATTAAGCATTTTTGATTGGTTATCTTACCTGGAGTGGGGTGGACACCTTTATCAAAATAATAAATGTCAGTGACCTAATAACAGTGCAGTGTTGTCACTTGGACGTAAATCCAGCAATTTGATTGGTCAGGACGCTTATCCCAACCAATCAAATTTCTGGATTTACGTCCAAGTGACAACACTGCCTAATACTGATTGATGAAATTGTGCAAAATACATGTGTTTGTATAACATAAATATTCCACGTCAATATACATGTAATTGTTTACATTTTTAAATACATTATGATTCTGGATTTTCTGTTATGTTACGTTTTATAAATGTTATAAAATGCCAAAAATAATCTGTTCCTCTTATACAGTTGCTGAAAAAATTGCCATCGAGGATTATGCAAATCAACATCTTTTCAAATGCCATGAATTATACAGAAGATGATTTTTTATATGAATCTAAATTTAACAATCAATCTATAGCTGTATCAGAGGTTGCGTATACATGAAATTGCTAATGGTTCTGAATTTTGAAATGGTTACTTATATCCGGAAGTTTACGATACCCCTAATATCAAAAACAATCATTCAATTATATTGAAGAAAAAGAAAGTAACGAGGTGAAATTTATTAGACATGTGTGGGTAGAGAAGTCAGTAGGAATTGTAAAGCTAGTTTATTTCATAACTATTTTACTTAAAATTCTCATTAAATCACAATTGTTTTTTGGATTAAAAAATAAAAACGTCAATATACGAATTGCTATGTTATATGGGGGTGGTTATGGTCTAATAAAATCAAATTTATTTCTAGGTTCCTATAAATACCTATTTCTCTAGATATCAATCTGTGATAATTTCAATTTTGCTTTCACAAAGATAAATTTCGACATAAATACTATAATATATATTAGATGAAAGAATATTTTTTTGATGTATTGTTCAGAATACACGTAAAAATTGGTTGGTTGTCAGCATCTAAATCATTTTTGGATATATTGATCAATTTTGCCAAACTCTATAACGATACCGATACACAGTGATTCTTGTTAATAGAAGAAATAGAATACTCGCTAAAAATTTTATCTCCGTTAATATTGTATTTTTTAAAAATAATTATTTAATTCGTGTTACATGTATTATAAAAATCAACAAAAATTATAATGATTTATCCTCAAAATTAATAGCGATAGTAAATTTTACACTAATCAGCATATTAATATGGTCAAATTTTTCAATTACACGATAAATTTTGACCTACAGAATTTTTTTCTAACTACATACCAATTTTCATAATCGAAATTTAAGATCCCGTAGGTCAAAATTTCTGCTAGTAAGTAAATAGTTGAATTAATGCTCCTAATAGAAATTTAGAACCTCAAGCTCTTAAATCTCGATTATAAAAAATCGGCACATAGGCAGATTTCATAAGGTTAGGGTTGGTATACTAGTACAGTCACAAATCGATATAATGAATTTCAACCCAAAAACACTTTTATTAAATTTTTTTCGATATAATAATTTGCAAAATTTTTTACTATGTTCCCGACAGAATTATTATATCGAGTTTTGACTGTAAGTCCAATCATTCTCAAGAGATATAAAAGATACTTTTTGCTTTATAAGTTATTGTTTAAAATGTTTTGTTAATTAAAGTTACTTACAAAATATAATCAACAAATTGTTTCTAAAGCTTAGAATATTGGAATTTTTAAAAATTTGGGCCTGGTTCAGGACTAGGTCCTAAATTCTAAAAATTCTAAAATTCTACGCTTAGAAACATTTGTTGATTATTTTTGGTAAATAACAAACCATTTTAAACAATAACTTATAAAGAAAAAATAATCTTTTATATTCTCTTGAGAATGAGAAAATGTTAATTAGCTTGTTCGGATTAATATTGATGGAGATAAAAATTTATCGAGTGTTTCATTTCTCGTGAGAGCCACTGTATTATGTAGTTAGGACGTGCCATTTACGTATCAGATTATTTTGGTTTATTAGACATCCCATTTAATCAAGCTGAGTCATAATATATCATATTTGTAGAAACTGATAAACAACAACAACCCCCATCCCCCTAAAGAATCACTTGATTTCTGACGCTCCCTTTGCCAAATATAGTGATAGATTTTCTTGGAAATCTTAAGACCAAATAGCGATAGGGTGGTTAAGTCATTGTATTATAACCTAAAATGGAACCGAATACGTGTAACATGTTCCAATCGAAATTTATGTTACAGATATACTGTAGATTTTTGCGCCCGAGAAATTGTAATCTATTGTATTGATTTTTGTACTCAGCCCACCTGCAGTAACATGAATGTCTAAGTGTTTGATCAGCTCGGCAAAACAAATCCGGGAAAACAAATAAGAGAAACAGATGCCTCAATCACGTCGGGGAGGAAATTTTACATATAATATTAACTCTACCCTTGACCCTAAAATTTGCCTTTAATTATTCCATGTGCCAAATCACAGTTACTGCGGTTCGGCACGGATTTTTTATGCCGTATAACGTCTTTGATACTGGACCACAAAATTAGCCTTGTTCAGAATATTAAAAATAACGGCAGCTATTGAATGCGAAATTTCTAAATGTGATTTTTTATTGTTGTTATACATGCACAACTTAATATGCATTAAGAAAATTATACCAAAAGGTATTGTTTTTTTACAGATTTTGTGCTTGCTACTTTTTTTAGAAAATTAACAATAAACATTGGATTTTTGCGTCCGAAAAATTTGAATGGAGATATCATATTTATATAGCTTTACGAATTCATAAATTATCAAAAAAAAAAACAATAAATATAAATTAAAAACAATGAGTAATAGTAGTGATACGCCAAGTGATACGCCAAATGACAACGCTTCCATCCACACGTCGGCGGAAACAACCAAACTCTTGGGAACTTTGGCTGGAGTTCTGAATAACTGCAATAACATGATTGGCGTTGGAATATTCTCAAGTCCTGGTGTAGTTTTAAGTGAAATTGAGTCTCCTGGGATTGCATTGATTTTATGGGTAGTGGGTGGAGTTGCCTCCTTGTTTGGATCACTCTCTTATGTCGAGGTATTTATTTTTATTTCTGTTTAATATAATTTTATTTCAATCTAATTCTGTAATACATATAGTTAGGAAGTTCTATACCAGATGGAGGTGGAGAAACTGTGTATTTGGAACAAGCATACCCTAATCCAAAAGCACTATTAAGTTATATTTTTAGTTTTGCAATGATTGTGGCAATACGACCAGCTTATATTTCAGCTGTCGCGAATGTTTTCGCGCAATATTTCTTATATTTAGTCAAAGCGAATGGACATTGTGATGACATTGATTACTTGCACCCAAAGGCATACATTGTTAATTGGAACTTTTGGTAAGAGAGATGTCAATAATAATTATACAGGGTTCACGTACCTAAACTATTCTATTCTATTCTATTATTAGGCAATTACGACTTTGTTCATTAGCTGCAGTAGTTATAGTCACAGGTTATCACATTCAGTCTAACAAATTGGCTAGTCGTATAAATCAAACTCTTACAATTATAAAAATGTTGACACTGTTTATGATATCGATTATTGGACTAGCAACAATTTCTCGGTTTATTAACGAAAAAGACACGAATTGGAAAAATATGTTTCCTAATGATATGAATATTGGTGCACGCTCTTTGACTGCTGCACTCATTCCTAT